TATCCGAAGTAATATTGATTGTCTTGTCAACTGATATTTTGATGTTCACATTCAGGTTTGGAGAACTCGAAATCCTGATCTCGGTTTTATTTTCAGTTGTAATATAGATTGAAAGATTTCCAGAACCATCCCCATAATTGCGCATGAAAAGAATAAGGAACTCTCCACATCTGCTATCTGCAAAGAGTTATAGATAGTTACAATAATACTAAACCATATATTTTTTTTAAATCAGATGCCAAAAAAATTATTTGTACCTGTGTATTTTTGTTCATGAGTAGTCGGTGTTGATATTATTTGGCCTGTTGTAGTATCCGCTAGTATCGCTGTTTTCGTTGTTGATTACACTGACGAGAACATATCCAAACCTAATAATCAGTAAATATAAGTGTATATTACAATGCTATTTTTTTTGTTTTATTTGTTTCGTTTCATTCTTAAACTAAACGCCCAAGGGCTACATCGCTCATCAAAGCAACTGGCTTGGTAAAAACAAAAACGTAATTCAGTATTGAAAAAAAATAGAGTTAGATTCAGGAAGAGGGTGTAATTGTGTATTTAATGAACCTAAATGTATACTTTCAACGGATGCCTTTGAGTAAATGAGACATTGTTTTATTGTTTAAAAGATGAAATTTTTATTGATTTAAGCTTTATATTCCTTTATTCTAATCCACTCTAATTGCTCCTCCCTTCTCTTAATTCATCATGATTTGAACAAGTTTAAATGTACTTTTCCTTTCTTCATGCTTTTATGTTGATAATCAAACATGACTTTCTTGTTCTTGTGAAGAATTTTAAACTATTATTCCTAAGTATTCCTATGTAAAATCCTGTTCACCAATTCTGGCTCCACTCTACCCCCAGGGATCATGATTTAAACAAACTTCAACCTAAACAACCTCTTAAATGCTTCCATATAACTATGACCAATCATGGCTTTGTATTCCTATGTTTAACTTCGAGACCCCATTGTGACCTCACCATACCCCTGGGGATCATGATTTGAACAATCATGAATCTTCACTACCAGAGGATCCTTCCATATAAGTGTAACAAATCATGGCTTTCCATATAACTATGACCAATCATGACTTTGCTGTTCTTGAGAAAAAGATTTTTAAAGATTTTTTCCAATGTATGCTATGTTAAACTTTGATACCCCATTGTGACCCCACCCCACACCTGGGTGTCATAATTTTTAGGAAAATTGAATCTAAACTACATGATGACGCTTCCTAGTGAGTTTTATCTTTCATGGCCCAGTGGTTCTTGAGAAGATTTTAAATGATGTCATTAATTTTTCACTAATTCACAATTATCTCCCCTTCAAACTGGACGTGGCCATTCATTTGAACAAAGTTGAATCCGTATATCCATTGATACTTCGTGGCAAGATTGGTTGAAATTTCCCAAGTGGGTCTTGAGAAGAAGAAGGAAATGTGATAATTTGACAACGATGACGACAACAACAGCGACAACAACGTCAAAAACGAGAGACAATGGACAAATTTTGACCACGAAAGCTCACTTGAGCCTTCGGCTCAGGTGAGGTAAAAGGTTTATCAAAATAATAATGAAAGAAAAATCATATAGTAGGGATAATTAAACATATGAATTTTGATCAATTATAAATTATGAAATATTTAAGGACTTATTATCGGGAAAAATAAAAAACAAAGGCGTAAGCAATACATAGTGATGTGGTTGTTCGAGTTCGAGAGTTGGTGGCACAAATTAACTGTAGAGTTTACACTAAATTGAGAGAATAATTTTGTTTAGTATGATCAGAAAATTTTTGGTACTGGAGTTCGAACCTAGCCCCCCCCCCTCCCCCCCCATCACGAAGTAGGATTTTCGTGTTTGGGAAATAAACATTTCCCTTTTTTTTTTTTTTTGCTTGTCAGATTTTTTCGGAGGTACAATGGGCAGTGCTTGATTTGAAGAAAAAAAGAATTGATGAAGGGTAAGGGAACCAGCATTTTTGGGAAAATTTACTGTAAAAGAAACAACAGCCCCCCCCCCCCCATTACTATATTAGGTTTTCTTTCGATATCTAGAATTCGGACTTAATAATTTTCCTTTAAATTACAATATAAATAATTTATGAGATAAAAGCTTATTTTTTTTTTCTCTCTCTCTCTCTGAAGGTTTTCCAAACGTGGTATGCTGTGTTGATGGAACACTGATTAGAATCCAGTGTCCCAAACTTAATGAGGCAGAGTTTGTATGTAGAAAGGGCTACTATGCGATTAACGTTCAGGTAATAATTAATACCTTGCATTAAGGAATTATTTACTCTTAAATAAATTACCTTTGATTTTAAATTTCTATATAATAAAGTTGAAAAAAAAGAACGCCCGTGATCACATGTCACAAATGTACATATCACTTATTATCGTGTAATAATCCTTAAGGGGAGGGGTGCTTAGATATCAAGCACCAATTTATACTCCCCCTCCCCCCCCCCCCAAAAAAAAGAAAGAAAGCGTGTAATAAGCCTTAAGGGGAGGGGTGCTTAGATATCAAGCACCAACTTATACTCCCCCCCCCAATAAAAAGAAAGAAAACTGACGGAAAAGAATCGTTAATATTACTTTCTTTCAGATGGCCTGTGATGCCTCGTTTAGATTTGTAAACTGCGTTGCAAAATGACCGGGTAGTGTCCATGATTTCTGTGTGTTAGAGAATCGTCACTTGCTAGACTCTTCGAAACTGGTAAGGCATAAATAAAAAAAATCTTAAATAACTAATTTCAAAAGTTAGAATACTCTCGTAAAATATCCAGCCATACATTAACATATTGAGTTTGCGAGATATTCAAACAGCATTCTAAAGTGCTGTAATTTTTAAGTTAACTGGATAATTTTCTTAAATTCTGTTCAGAACATAGAATTTTTATGCTTTCAGGTGCGCGAAATGGTGTTATTTTGGGCGATTCAGGATATGCCCTCAAGAGGTATCTTATGGTTCCTTATTTGACCCCCAGTACCAGAGCGCAGGAGAAGTTTAATACTTCCTTATGTCGCACGAGAGTGGTTATTGAACAAGCGTTTGGGATTCTAAAGAGGAGGTTTCCTTGTCTACAGACAGGTTTACGGTTGGAGCCCGACAGAGCATGCGCCGTCATAGTAGCCTGCACAGTTCTTCACAATCTTGGGATAGAGAGACAAGACATTGTAGATGTGATACCAGCTGCTCAATGTCAACTGATCGACGAGGTGGCGCTGCCTGCAGTAGGAGGGCAACAAGAAGGAAATCATGTTAGAGATCACATTGCCAATGTGTTTTTTGGCCATTGAATACGTAAATATTGATAAAGATTTATTAATATATAATTTCATTGATAATTTATTTGCATTTATAAGAGTATACGTTTAATTCTTTTTCAACTTTGATAACATTATTTCTTCTTTCAGCTTCTGTTTTTCTAAACCCAAAACTTCAACTTCTTCCGAAATCTTCGTTTTCTTCAAACGCATTAGCTCCATTTCCAACTCCAAATTTCTCTTTTCTGTCTTTAGAAGATCTTTCTGTAGATTTATTAAACTCTGTTCCTTTTTGTTTTCTTTATTAGAGCAAGGAGGTGGCACTGAAGTACTTGTGTCTGAAGACAACTCGCTGCATGTTGAGGTGGATGCTACCAGCTGATCCCTATCCGTCTCCAATTCTGTTAAAATAGAATAATGTAAAATTAAAAAAAAAAAATGAGTAAATTTGAGCGCTACGTAACATTTTTGTTTGTTTTGAACATATTTCTGACACTCAATGGGATCAGAAACAAGTTATTTAAAATTACTTAAATTATCTCTTTTATTAAACTACAGAACTGTAGCTCTCCGAATAAAAAAAAATATATTGACAGACCGGAGAGCTACAGCGCCACCCATTGACAAAAGTGTATATTTATTGTGCACAAAAAAGTACGATGTTTCTGGATTTATTTCTTCGTGTTTTTTAACTGTCATTTAAAAGTTTTAATAACCCTGTATTCCTAAAATCATACTTCACTTATTCCACGAAAATAAATTTCCCCTTATAATTGTTGCTTATAGCCCTCTTGGCCCTACAGTTAAGATCGTCGAAAATTTTGTCTTTTCATACTGCCATTTTAGTATATATAACACGATAATTGTCAAACATATATAATATTAATAATATTAATAATAAGTGCGAATCGGCACGTGACACATTTATTCATGCGTTCACGTAAGGGGTTTTCTTATCCTTTTTCACCCTAAAATGATATAAAAGGCGCACTATTTCAACACTTTGTATGTATTTCATTTACACCAAGCAAGTATTCTTACCACCAGAATCAAAACCCGAGCTCAACCCCTGCATCGAAGGCCTTCCTTCCAGCGTATCTAGCAAGGCTTGCTCCACTGGGGTTGGTGATGGGGGCTTTGGACCTCCACCTGTCATGGTTCTTTTTGTCTGAGACAATTTGTCCTTTGCTATAAAGATCAATAACAATACCCTTTTTAAAAAAAAAAAGAGCGTTATAATCGATACACGTACATGTATTAAGAAAAATGCTATAAAAGACAAGGTTTGATAAAGCGTAACTGAGCTGAAAAAAATAATACAGAAATAAGTGCAGATATTTACGTTCAAATTAAACATTTAACCAATTTTGAACTTTTCTGTAATTAAATTGACTTTAAACTTTGTTTTATTTAAATGCAGAGTCGATAAATAAATCGATAATGAATCGGTTAATTGTTATTGATTTTTCAATTATCTATGAAACGCGATTTATATAGCACTTTTCAGGAAATTTCTTTCTTTATAAAAAAAAATTAAAACAAACAGAAAGATATCTTTTTCCTTTAATTTTTGTCTTAGATTTATATGTACCTCTGGTTTTCAAATTTGCATACTGTTTGGACGCCTCTTTTCCTGTTCGCAGGTAAATACCTACTCTGTAATACAGAAATAAACCGGAAATAAAACATTGTCATATTAAAGAAATACAGTTCAATACTTGCAACTCTTAAGTATGAAATGAGATAGAAATATGTAATTTTTATTTTATTGATATTGAACATCCCCATATTTCTATACCTTAATTGACCTCAAACTGTGTCTGATACTTAAATGTGGATGCTGTTTTATATTTCGGATATCTGAAGCGCGTCTGAATAATTTGATTTACAAGATAGTCCTTTGTTTAATTCTAGGCAGTCTAAATTTATATATAAAGACGTCATATTCACTTTAAGACTTTCTAAAGAGGGGTGCAAGTGCGCCCCAACAAATCCACTTCGGAAAGGTTATTTAAATACGGTCTTGAACACATCAGTATTTTTTTCACCATAAATTAAAATTACTAATATGAAAAGTTTTAACTTTTAACATTAACATAAATAAGAAAATTTTCTTTCCGCTTTAATTTTTGCTTAAAAAGTGACATTCTTAAAAAGAGGGAGGGTCGCCCGGGTTATACCGATTTATGATGTATAGTATTACTCTGCTAACTAGTAGTTTATGTAAGATGGACCTGTTGGCATTTAACTTTTCTTTTTCTTTTAAGGACACTTTCCGAAAATATGTGCGTTATATATAGTCTGAAGTGTTTTTAATTAGATAAAAAAACTCAACAAAAAACTCATAACTAACATTATACACGCAAAAATAATTTTAAACTTTTAAAGAATTTTAATATGTATTAAAATATTGTCAAGGTAAGGAAATTTATAAAAATAATAGTTAAATAAACATACTCGTTTACAGCTCTTGCCACATCCTCCCAGGCTGCTTCCCTCTCAGCTTTACCCCTCCCGGGTCCTTTGAACTTTCCGAAAAGTTTCTGTTCATTTTTGGCGACACAATCGATTAAAACACCCTGTTCTAGGTCGCTCCAGGCGGGTTTCCTTTTTGGAGTGGATGATGCTAGAGGGGTTTCAATAGGCTCGAAAATTGTTTCGCTTATTTTAGAAGGGTTTTCTATAATAATATCATATAGTACGTCCATCCCCTCCATTATTGGTGAGACAGACGCTCCGTAGTATATGCAACGTCATCAAAATAAAAATATTACGTCACAATTAAGTGAATTTGCACTTTAGAGGTAGATCCAAATAGTAAACAAAGAAATTAGGTATTTCAATATTTTATTTTTCTTTTATTTACATTGCCAGGGCCACTTATATCAATAAAAACAATTTGAGTTTCATGCAGAGTTTTGTTACTCTGGTGAGTTGAGTTTCCTTGGCGTTCGTGGCACACTTTTTTCAGTCGCAACTCCGGAGAGTAAAGTAAAGTTTACTCTACACAGATTTGAGTTGAGTAAAATAAAATGTTCGTGGCCCCGGGGCCAGGTATTCCAACAATCTATTGGAATTCCTATGGGTACAAATTGCGCTCCGTTATTAGCAGACTTATTTTTATATTCATATGAAGCAGAATTTATGCAAAATCTTTTGCGTGAAAAGAAGAAAACACTTGCTGTGGACTTCAACTCGACATTTAGATATATCGACGACGTATTGTCAATTAATAATGATAATTTCCATTCCTACGTCGAAACGATATATCCTGGTGAGCTTGAGATAAAAGATACCACAGAGTCGACACTTCTGCTTCATACTTGGATATTTTACTTGAAAAAGACACTAATGGTAATCTAACAACCAAGCTATATGATAAACGTGATGACTTTAACTTTTCTATCGTCAACTTTCCTTACTTATGCAGCAATATACCTTCATCACCTGCATACGGAGTATTTATATCTCAGTTGATTCGATACGCAAGAGCATGCTCTACGTATGAACAATTTCTTAAACGAGGTAAATTATTGACAAGCAAGTTGATGAAACAAGAATATCAACAGTCTCGTTTAAAGTCATCATTTCGTAAATTTTATGGTCGATACAATGACCTTGTCAGCAAATACAATTTATCATTGAATGAAATGCTGACTGACGTTTTTCATACCAATTGTTAGTCCATTATTTATACACTGAATTGACCACGGATTTTTTCCGTTATTTCCTGATTATGACAACGAGCACACGGCGGGTGTGACCGGTCGGCAGGGGATGCTCACTCCTCCATGGCACCTGATCCCACCTCTGATGTTTCGGAGGTCCGTGTTTGCTCTGCTCTTATTTTGTATATTTGTTTAATGGACGTTGAGATTGAATACGAGGGTTGTCCGTAAATTTCGTGGACAACATTGATAATTACGGACAAACATCGACAAACTATTTGAAACTATTATTTTCATAAAATTCATGTTTCATTTTATAAATAAGCAAATTTTCAATAAAAACAAAGCACAAATAGTTGTAATTTCATCAGATACAAAAAAGACACACACTCATACCCAGAGCACTAAAACCCGAAAATTCTTGACGTTACCGACGTCAAAAGCTAAATACGAGCACTTGTAACTTTTCTCAACATAGTAAGCGTTTAACTCAATACAATTTCTTATGTCGTTTTGACCATTATAATATTTAACAATGCCTGTATCATATCCTGCAATCATCTAACCACCGTCCGTGTCAAGACGATTTCATTTACGGAAATACGGCATGATCACGGTACGAAACTCATATTTTACAGCATTGCAATCTCGGAATAATGGTTTTCCTTCACGCATGCATTCCTGTAAACTGTTCATTCCGTCCGAAAATATTATTATTTTTTTAATTAAAATTTTGCGGTGCTCCTTGTCTCCATTCCAAGTCTAATTATGAAGCCATAATTATAATTAAACATTTGAAATTGATTAAATTTTAACATTATTTAATTCACATTAAGTAAAGGATGAGAAATATGCCAATAATAAATATCAATGACACAACTTTTATCAAATTTTTGGCTTGTCCACGAACTTTACGGACAACCCTCGTACTGTTCGTTATTTCCATATCCTTCATTGATTTATTTGAATTTTTATTTAACATTCAAGATTATTTTTTAATCCATAAATCGTACAATTATTTAATGTATTTTGAATTAAATCTTTGATAACATTGTTCAAACAAGTTTAATAGGAACAAAATTCCGAAAATAAGAAGTTGCATTTCAGTAGAACCAGGTAGTATTCGAGGTTACTAATTGACCCCAGGTGAGAAATCAGTACAGGTATTTTGACGGTGATCACACACACACGGGCCGAGGTGTCAGTTAGGGGAGAAGGGGGAGGGGGTGGTTGACCGCACATGAAGACAGTGTGCTAATTAGAGAGCTACACATACGTGTCAGTTTTCTTGTTAGGAAAGGTCTTCTATTTATTTTGATTTTTGACATCCCGGTGGATTATATTTTGAGTTTATTTCCACGCCGA